ATGATGATGGCCTTGCTGTGATGATGGTGATGGTAATCATAATCAAGATAATGATGAAGATAATGATGATGATGGCCTTGCTGTGATGATCATGGTAATCATAATCAAGATAATGATGAAGATAATGATGATGATGGCCTTGCTGTGATGATGGTGATGGTAATCATAATCAAGATGATGATGATAATGATGATGATGGCCTTGCTGTGATGATGGTGGTGGCAATCATAATCAAGATAATGATGATGATAATGATGATGATGGCCTTGCTGTGATGATGGTGATGGTAATCATAATCAAGATAATGATGATGACAATGATGATGATGGCCTTGCTGTGATGATGATGATGGTAATAATAATGAAGATAATGATAATAATGAAGATAATGATAATGATGGCCTTGCTGTGATGATGATGTTAATGATAGTGATGATGATGATATAATGATGATGATGGTAATGACGATGATAATGATGATAATGATAATGATGATGATGATAATGATAGTGATGATAATGATCATGATGATGATGATGATAATGATGATTATAATGATGGTCCTGATTATAATGATATTCATTCTTGATATTCATTCCCTAGTTGGTCACCTCATTGCTATTGCTTTTCTTGTATTTGGTGTCATTGTAATCGTCATATCCACATTATCTCTGATCCTGTGCCTGAGGTCTCTATACAAGTCTATTCACTTGGCGAAGGTGAGCTTTACTCATTAACAAGTAGCCTTTCTCGATCCCCCCTCTTAACACTTCCTTACACAAGGGTCATACTCCCCTTCCAATTTTCTCAGGAGATCAGTTTTACCCTCACTCAGCTCATCTCCAGCGAGTTAGCAAGAGAGACTTGGTGCAAGTCTATTTTTATTTACACCCATTTTATATATAATTATGCAACTAACACAGCCCAAGATGTCTAAGTCGTTTGGCTTCCGTAAATCAAAAAATACCAACTAAATCAGACCGTTGGAAATTTTATTAAATCAAGCCAAAAACCCAGATGTCTGGAGTTAGTGTAGCTTGTTGTCTGGGAGGCATAATGATGAAAATAGATAGATTTTTGATGTGTTATATTTATTTTAGGAGGCAAGACTTTACTTTGAGGAAGAACAGCACAATCCACTTACGTTATCTGAAACCATGGAACTGTTTAACTTGTGGTTTATTGTCATCATTGTAGCTGACTTACTTACTATATTAGGATGTACTTATAAAATTGCTATAGAACAAAGGGTAGGTAGAGCACTCAAGAACCTAGATGGAACATGTCGTGCATTATATATTTACAACCACCACTCCCCATGCGGGGCTCTTCCGTGAGGTCCCCTCCACACGCACTACCACTACATTCTATATTTACAACATACAACACTCAACTCACATGTTGCTTTTTACGGAGGGAGGAAACCGGAGATCCCGGAGAAAACCCTCGTGGCAAGGGAGAGAACAACAATTGCATTGTCAATCAAATGCGCATTCAACCTTAAGTGAAAAATACACCTTTCTATCTTGGACATAATGTTTTTCCCGTTCCAGACCACGTGTCATTCTCTTCAGAATAAGATTCTTCCTTTGAGTTGTATCTATATAGAGCGTTTTCACGTGACGTCACAGTGGACATTATGGGGTACCAAAACAATAAATTTTTTATCCTTCAGGAATTGAAATCAATTTTTATGCAAATACTGTGCATAACGTTTCTATTGTTTATGGCTGCCTTCTCACGTGAGTGAAAACGCTCTATTCATCACGTGTCTTTTAATGCGCAACCGTTAAACGAAGAAATGATACTCTAGGGAATGAGACGTGGTCTATTGACGACCAATACTATCAACAAGCGAGATATAATTTTGTGCAAACATAAAGTTTTTTACTATAGTATCAAAAATTTTCGTTTCTGTGATTGCGCAATGTTCCATTCGTTGGAAAAATTAAACTAGCACTATCGTCAAATGAGATATGCTAGGATATTATTTTGTCTTTGACGCGCATTCTGCTTTCTAGAAAAAAAACAGAGCGTCATGGAATATGTTTTTAATTGATGCATTGTGCAAACTTACTGTCACTTTGATGTAGGGTTTTACTATTGTGTTGTGGATAAACCATTCCGTGTTCTGATAACCCAAAATCACAGAATTCCTTCAATAGTTTGTTTCAGTTAAGTATTTGCTTTCGTCAACAGGATGGTGACTATTATGACGTGTGTAGTGTCCTCTTTGGTCTTGCTGTCTTACTCGTCTGGTGTGGTCTTCTAAGGTTTTTACAGTATTTTAAACAATACAACGTAAGTTTAAACTCGCGTAGCTTACATCCCCCACCCTACTTCCCTGGGGAGGGTTTCGATCGTCCTTGTTTTACAATGGGAGCACTAAATTGCCAGTGGCTAACAAACTTGTGGCCCTCGTTCTATGATCGAGGGGGGAGGGGGGGGGGGAGACAAAACTTTCAAAAAAGAGAACCAACAAGCAACTCTACTCAAATGATTTGAAGTTTGGAGATGGAATCTACGACACATCGCACACCATCTTTTTTATGGATGTCAGAATTTTCTGAAAAGGTTTTATTTTTATTCTCTTCATAGACACTACTCGTTACGATCAAGGCGGCTGGCCCCAGTGTTCTTCGGTTCTGTGTCTGTAGTGGCGTCTTGTTTGTTGGCTTCACCTTGTGTGGTTGGATTGTGCTTGGACCCTACCACCCCAAGGTTTGTTGTCACTCTAGCTTGAAATGTTTTATATTACTCTATATAAGTAGATTTTACAATATTCAATATGGCCACTCTTCTAGCAACAATTTCGTTATGACGCCTTGCTAAATATTGAAAGTTTGAAGGAAAACGCCTGACGTGGAACTACAGTTTGAGGTCTGCCTAGCAAGAACGTCGTGCTAAAAGTCTCTATTAGCGAGGTTAGGCCGGCCGAACCACAAACGTCTATAATATTTGACATTTTGTTGTATTTCCTTTTTCTTGTTGTAGTTCCGCGACACCACTGTTACAGCGGAGTGTCTGTACTCGCTCGTCAATGGAGACGACATGTTCAACACCTACGCATTGGTCAACCCTAAAAACCAAGCTATCTGGATCTACAGTAAACTCTACTTGTACATATTCATCTCTCTGTTTATCTATGTGGTCCTCAGTTTGTTTATTGGTATCATTGGTGATACTTACGAGAGACTCAAGGTAAGGATAGTCTCCCTCGCATCCGTTTTTAGTGTCGGTCGTCACGCAACGCTCCCTGTGACGACCGACACTAAAAACGGGTGCGAGGGAGACTAAGGTAAGGACGGCTTAGGTTATGAATTGTGACTTCATGTCCGCCATGTTGGCTGAACGCAAGTTGACTTCTTTTTTTAGCATCGATCTCTCCCACCCAGTCCCACCCCCTTCTCTCTCTTTCTCTCTCCTTACCTCTTGCTCTCTCTTCCCTCCCTCAGTGGACCTCTACCTTAGGTGTAAAGTTTTCCCATTCCAGGCCAGACGTGTCATTCCCTTGAGAATAAGATTCTTTGTTTGAGTTATATCCATATTCATGTGTCTTCTCTATGCAACCATTTAACCAAGAAATGATACTCTAGAAAATGACACGTGGTATAAAATGAGGAAACAATTCTGCAGTCACTTAAATGGATTTTTCTCAAAGCCAATCAATAGCGCAGGAAGTACATTCCATCCAATCACACTGCTTGAAGACATCATCACAGCAGTCAAATGGGTTCTGATGAATCGCCAATCAAATTTATTCGTGATTCTGATAGAGAGACAATGAAAATGTGCAGAGAAGGGTAGTGCAACCAGGGCCAGGGTGAATGGGAAGACAACCTACGTGAAACTCGAGGGAATCGAGGAAATTCCACATAGGAGCCGTTCCTAGGTTGAGGAAAAAACTGGTTCGAGTTGGCGCATTACAGTGGATTTTGGGGTTGTTTTAGGGGACGAAATAGACGCCATCTTGGAAATATGTCCCCTCAGACAGCCCCACAATGCACTGCAATGCTAATTCGACCCAGTTTTTATGTTGCATCAGAAAGAACTAAGACACTGCTGTTTGTTTTGACTTGAAGGATATGGGTCAGTTGCCAGCTTCAAGATTACAAACATTTTTAGAAGAAAATCATCGGGAAACTAGACAAGCTGGTAATGCTACACAGTCTTCAGCAAACGAGAATAACACGTAAGTATGGAATGGGAAAAGTAATGGAAAGAAAAGGGAAGAAAGTAAGAGAAAATGAAATGTAAAAAAGAAAACTTCGAAGGAAACAAGAAAAGGATTCAAAAGAAAAGTTGTGGAGGGGAGAAAGAAAGAAAGGAAATGGGAAGAAAAAAAGGAAAAAATATTTTTACTAGAAAATCTTCCTACAGGCACCATGTTTATTTATTTAACAGACTTCAGTCTCCTCTTCCCTTCGACCAGTGGCCTCTCCCTTCATTGAATACCATCGATCCCCTTTGCTTTCGCCTTACTAACTCTGGCATTCTTGCCTTCACAGGGCTATTCTAGTGTCTTCAACCACTACAAATGATTCCATGTACAGACGAGTGTCTATGGAATCAACGGGAGTTGAGTGAAGATTATGAACCTTTTGGGGAGGCATGAATTCAAAAATAAATATATAATTATATGGAAGCATTGACATTTTGGATCCATATCTAGGAAATACCATTTGCGGTCTATTTATTTTGCGGAATTCTAATTCACACCGCACAGGATTATGGGGCTAAAGGTCTCCAATCCCACAATTCCAAACACGGTGAGTTCGATACCAGTCTTGCTCAAACCTAGTCTCAGTCTTGTCGCGTGCTCGTTCATTCCACCATATAAATTCATTTACTTAGTTGTATATAATATAAAGAATTGTATGAATAAATGATTTCCTAACAAAGATCTAGTTAGTAAGCGTTGCGTGACGAAACTAATAGCGGCTGCGTAGGAGACTAAGATCTAGTCAGATAATTGTAAATAAACGATATAGACCCCTTGTATGTTACGTCAAAGCAGCTCAATTTGGAGGACAAAATAAAATAATCTCATGAGAATTGGAAACCTGTTATGTCCTCCAAATTGAGCTGCATTCCGACGTGCTACTAAGGGTCTATTCAGCGACATTTTTAGGGACTTCTCGGGTGGGTGTGTAGTCAAGGCAGGTGAAATTGTCACAAGTTTTACATCGTGGAAGTGTGTAAAAATGAAAATACATTCAAACCACCAAGGAGCAAGAAGTGTTTTAATGAACGGCTTTAAAATGTGCTGCAAGCAAAGTATGTATGCAGTCACAGCAAAAATGACAACTGAGTAGCGTGCATTTCTAGGATCAAATCATTTTCCATTTTCAAACGACTAACATTGTGAGGATGCGAAGTTGAAAAAAATAAATCTCCAGGGAACATCATCTAAAATAGAATAATTTTAAGCTTTTCCACTTTCTCTTACTTTCAGTAATAGTTCTCGTCAACGTTACCCTGCGAGCAGAAGTCCTTTTCTACCCCGCTAGGAAGCGAGAGGAAAAGATAATCAGTCGCAGGTGCCAGCAGAGGTTCTTTTCCTCTTGATTCCTAGCGAGGTAGAAAAGGACCCTTAGCTTGCAGGGTACTCCAACGTATAAGATCTTATTCTCGAACACATCAAATTCGGTAGAAAAGCTTTTTATTTTTTTTCATTGAAACCTCCTACTCCTCTTAAAATCATTTTATTGCCAAGTTAAAAACCTTTCAAGCCAATTTCCGCCCTCGGACTCATTCAGTTCAACACCTCGCATCACCTTTCCTTGGCGATTTAGTCAGGACTTGAACTTCGGACGGACACAAAATGGAGGAGGGGGGGAGGTGCGGGGGGAAGCGTCTGCTTAGAATGTCAGTGTAACTGTTTAAATTTAAAGGAACTTATGAATAGCATTGTTCACAAAGGAGTTTGTAATTCGCCACAACAGATAAATAAACTATTTCAATCAAACATCAATCTCGAAATCATAAGTTATGGTATGTTTCCATCGTTGTATCCTTGTGACGCTCGCTTTTTAAGTTCGAAGGAAAATAATGTTTGTGTATACCGTGCAATCGTGTTGCAACTTCTCTTCAAGTAACATGCGCGTAGATTTTAAATTTTTTTTAAAATCATCCGCGAAGACTCTACCTACACAGATATCTACTTCCATTGTACACTACACGTTGCTCAACTATTTGCGCGGTATATCCATATTCTATACAAATATTCTGAATTCAGTTAACTGTGCGTCACAAAGACATAACAATGAAACATGACCTTTATTTTGCGGGCGGGAATACCATAGCATAACCGATGGCTTAAATGGAATAATCAGTCGGCACAATCCCAGTTCTGCTGAAATTAGAAGCGTGGAATTTGGAGAATACTAGGCTTGCTTTCTTCCGAAACAGCTAGAGAACTATCAGAAATATATATACAGAAAATAAGGGGTAGGGTGTGAATGATCCAAAATTGTTGAGGGAGGAGTGGGTACGTATTTTGTCGGAGGAGAGCAAGCCTAATCGTGGTGATGTAATATTAGCTCTGCAAAACCAAAGCAGTTACTAAAGCGTGTGTAATCACTTAGTAGCCATTTGAATTGTGCGGTTGGTACTTCGATACAACCAAAGTATGCCAACGCTGTGAGGCCGGGTGCATTGCTAGAACGAATGCAATAAAATTTTTGATTTTGTACAACCAAAATCTAGTGGGATGAACGTGGAAGCCGCAAGAACTCCGAAAACTGAGCCTTGCAAAAAGGATTTTTCTACCTCAAATGTTATTCTAAAACAACCAGAAATATGTGGGCTATTAGCCAATCAGCAAGCTCTATAAATGCTGGGCGGTGCTAAGATTTACCTAAGGCTTCAAATCACTTCTCAGGCAGGTTGATCGATTCCTCGTCCAAAATACAGACCGTTTTTACAAAAATAACAGTCTTGATCTGCGCAGCTATGGCTCTTTCGAATCAAACCAAGTCACAGTATAAAAAGTGCGCTCGCAAAGTAGCGCAATAATTAGAAGTATTGTAGTGCATTGAAAAGCCAATCAAACTACAAGAGAAGCGCTCATATTGAGCAGTAATAATTGCCGTGCATTGTAGAATCAATGCGTCGAACGAGAAGCATAGCATGCACTGGATAATCAATGCAAAGACAGAACCTTGACATCAAGCCAATAGGCTGTCTTACCAACTAACAGACCCACAATAGAACTAGCCATCCTCTTGTGGATCGTAAAGCAAACACGCGCAAAAGCATTAACCTCTGCGCAAAGCGAAATTTACGCGGAAGTAGCCGGGCTGTTGGTTGACCGTTGGAGTTTACATCGATGAGTTGTTCATTCTTTTATATCGTAAGTTTGGAGTTGGAGTCGATGTACTAGGCCCAAATACGTCTTCGTCTTCTGACGCGCTAAAACACAAAGAAAAATGTCGGTGAGATCATTGCAACTCTCGTTTTTTTTTTTTTTTTTTTCCTTTTTTGTTTTGTTTGTTTCCTTTTTTTATTTTTTTTTGTTTGTCACTTTTGTGAAATTCATACTGTAAATCATTCCTTGAGCCCATTGATTGGAAATAAGAATTATTTGGATCACTCGGTGTATTTGAACTCAAACAGTAGAAAGTTCAGGAAATAATAACCTGGGAAGGTACGTTATTTATTAGGGGGAGGGGTGGGGAATTGTAGCACTTCCCCTTTCATACAGTAAGAAATTCATGACCCTCCCATTAAGTCAACAAGAAACTACCTCGCTCCAAAATAAAAAAGGTTTGACCCTCGACAAAACTTGAGATTTTCACTAATAACCCTCCCCTCTGAAGCCTCAGCCCCTCCCCCCCACCCCCTCAATAAAAAAACATACCTTCCCTTAGTAATAGTAAAACAAAGAGAGGTTTGCAAACCTACTGAGTATTGGCTTCTGCCTCAGCCACCCCCCCCCCCCAATAAAAAAAACATACCTTCCCTTAGTAATAGTAAAACAAAGAGAGGTTTCCAAACCTACTGAGTATTGGTTTCTGTAGCCTGCTCCAAAAAATTGGTCTCGAGCTGGTCTTTCATAGATATCAGGACATTGTAGACCCGCACATCTTTACCCTGAAATAAAACCCACAATATTAACAAGATTACTCTAAGTGAAAAAAATGCAGAGGTGAACGATGTAAGACGTATGAAATGTAACTGGCTGAGGCATATCCTGAGAAGAGATAGTGAGAATGAATGTGTAGGTTATTTCTAGTGTAATATAATTGATGCAACTCTTTTGTTATAGCTCTTGTGACTTGTTCTATAGATTGTAAAGCTGGTATTGTCTTTTTGGTATTGTGATGTCAGCTGTGCTGTATTAATTCCCCTTTTGAGTGCTAGCCATCACGTGGTATACAACGTGTTGGATTGTGTTACGGTCACCAAGAAATTCGGACATTGTTCTCAGACTTCCGTACGAATGTACTGGGCCCAGTTGTTCAAAGCCCGATTAGTGCTAATCCTGGGTTAACTCTTAATAAGACCTATAGAGTTAATCCTGGATTAGCGCTAATCCAGCTTTGAACAACCCGGCCCTGACTTTTAAACAAATGATTTACTCGGGTTGTTCAGTTAGCTCTCTAAATACAAGCAAAATATAATTTCTCTAATTTGAATTTTCTTTCTAAATTTAGTGAATTTGTATAGCAGTCCGCAAACGATGTCCGTATGTTGACCGTAACACAATCCAACATGTTTTTGGATAGCGCTCAGAAGGTGGTATATATTACAGTGGAGATAGGCTGACTGTGTCATGGAGTTAGGATGGGTTCCCGAAGGAATAAGGGCAAGAGGATGACTCAAGATCTTAGCTTTATGTACGCCTCAAGGTGCCGAGAGCCCTAAGTAAAGAACACTTTGATAGAGGCACAATATCCAATAATGGACTTTCAATATATATACAATATATACAATAATGGACTTTCAAATGATCATGTTGTTAGACATAATGGGAGCCCAAGGGGACCTAAAATGGGAGCTTCAGAAAAAAGAGTATATTTTTACGGACAAGGAAGATGCTTACATATATTGTCCACTCTTTTTCATCCTCGTCACCACTTGAAACGGCTCTTTGCTTCTTGGCATTTGCCTTGCCTTGTCCTGAAACCCATAAAGTAAACTGTAAGTTAAGTTTCTCCAGTTAAGGGGTGTGCGTGTGCGTGTTGAAGATGAAGATGAGGATGAGGATGAGGGTGATGATGATGATGATGATGATGATGATGGTGGTAGTGGTGGCAATGATGGTGGGGTGATGATGATGACTGATTGATGACATGATGATGATGATGATGACATAAACCTATTTGAAATTCAAAAAAATGCTGTCATTGCCAATATACTATAGGTCATTCCGACATGGAAATGGTTTCGTTGAATACAAAGAACATTGAATCAGTCTCAACACGGTCCATGTTCTTGACGAAAACAAGAAGTAGAAACACAAGTCATTCCAGGTATTCTAGGATCTTGGAATAACATATCTCCGATCGCTTTTTGCCTATTACTTATTACTTTTATTACTTATCGCCTTTGGCGATGACAACCCTTTTTGAAAAAAATATATCACGATTTTCCTTGCTGGCAGTGAATTCCAACTAAAATAGGTTACTGTACCTTTCTTTCTCTTGGACTGAGGAGATGTTGAGGACACACTACCCGACAGACTCTCGTTGGATTTCCTGTCTCTACCAGGACATGCACAAACTCTGATCTCCACAACTCGACGCCCAAGGGTATGGCCTCTAAAATGCAACACACACAAAAAAATGTAAGTCAGTATTAAAGAAACCTATCAATTCTATCAATTCCCTGAAACAATCTGTGGTCTCTCGGCTGAACAAAGTCTGAGTATGGCTACCTTAAGATCAAATTTGAATTTATTGGGAGAAAAACTGGAGAACTGAGAAAAAAATCCTGGAATCAACCCAACTCAGATGTGTCACGTGTCTTCTACTCGGATATTTTAAGACCCCAAGTGTGAGTCTGGCCACTGAGGATTAAACCTATGACCTCCCGCACAACAGACCGGTGCCCAATCAACTGAGCTATCAGTTAGCTAAAGGTTAGCTGTGATGCACTACTGTAGCACTACACTTACTCTTTTTCCAGAGTAAAGATGATTTCCACAGGTCTCCTGCTTGGGCCAGAAGGGCAGCTTGAAAAACACATGAAGGCAAACATCTCGGTAACAAACTCTGTCCCAACTGAAAGAAAATAATACACCCTTAATACATATAATAATAAACATACACCCTTAGATATCTCTCCTTAAGGTCAATACTCTCACCATTTGATGGGCTACATGTGGTTTTAAATCCACAGGAAACCCACTTCTGATGCAATGTTAAGATAATGGCCCAGTCAGTATACATAGTTTACTTTGGATGCAAATAATACGTTACATGGATATCAAAAGCAAGCACAAGCAAAACATTACACATAAACAACAGTTATCCCTATGTGAATACTCCCCCCCCCCCCCCCCCCCCAAAAAAAAGCAAACAAAAAAACAGCATCCAAGCAAAATTTAGAACAAATGTAAATATGGATATCTGAATGTCTCCATGCTGTAAGTAGTTAATATTTTACTTCTAAGTGAGCCCTCAGTTGTTTTTTAATTGCTCTAAATCATTCAGCATCAACGATTTCTTTAGGCCCTGACAAATGGCCCAACATTAAAGAAAGATGTAGCCTTTATTTTGACCCAACATTATTGACAGACCATGACACCAATGTACAGTCCAAAGATCTGCCCCAACAAATTGTGTGTCAAAGAGGTTGTTTGTGGGTTGTTTGTCAGGGCCTTGAATGAAGATAAGTTACCTTGGGGTCCATGGTAGGGAATGACGACAGAATGGCGGCCAGATTCCGGACACACATGGTATTGTGCTGTTGGGTTATTACTTCTGATGAAGTGCTGATTGTGGTCTGGATCTACAATATCATCATTGAATACTGTAGGATTATTGATTAGCACTATCATGAGTATTGCTCATCATATTCATTATATCAAGTTATAAATATTGGAGGAGGGGGAGGGTGGGGCTTCAGAGGGGAGGGCCCAGGGAGGAGGGACTCCTATATATAGAATTGTGGGGATGCTCGATGGAAATTTTGAAAATGACTTCTAATAGGTACCATAATTTTTTTGCCTTGTAGTCATATAAGTGGCAAGTTTCACCCCTAATTTGTACCAAATGACCTAATTTTACAGCATTTTAATTAGCTTTGAAAGTTAACCCCTAAGAGCTACGATGGACATCCCCACCCTTCTATATATGTGAGTCCCCTGGGGGGGGGGGGGGAGGGGAGGGTTATCATTGAAAATTTCATTAGTGAGTGTTCTGATTGCAGTGCACTGTGGCAAGACTTCAGACCCTTTATGGTATCATAGCGACAGAGCCCTACCCCTGGCTTCCTGGGCAAGCCATGATACCAATGGCATTAATAGTATCTAATATTATTTATAATAACGAATATCAATACTCACTATCACTAGAGGGTTGACTGTGGTTAGGACACCTCTTCACAATGTCATGCAGATTGGTTGAGCCCTTGAAGACAGCGACGGCTCTCAAGTAGCACCCAGGGGGAGGCTGATGGTCTGTCTTGAACTTAATGGGACAGAAGCTGGCCAAGTTGACATAGAGTTTCTTACAACTCTCGGAATAGGTCCATGTGGCTGACTTGGAGGCAGATTCAGTAACTGGGCCAAATGACAGGGAAAAACCAAGATCTCCAGGATACTCAGTGGTGCTTGGGATTGTGGGAAGGTGTGAGTTGTATTGAGAGAGGCTGTCATTTAATGCACTCTTCTGCAAAAAAGTTCATAAAAATTAATATTATACAGTCAAATAGAAGAATTAATTGCCCAATAAGAGTTTGCTTTAAAAAGTAATGATGAAAAAATCTAGGGAATAAAGTGGAGAAAAGGATGAAAACGAATTTTTTTAGAAAAGTAAAGGGTAATGAAATTGGAATAAAAATTAGAAATTTGAAAAAAAAAACACTTGAGAAACAGAAGCAGCCAGGTAAAAGAAAATGAAATAATGAAGAAAAAAAGAAAAGGAAGAAAGAATGGGAAGAACATAGATGATAGAACAGTAAAATTGTATTCAAAGATCAAATTAATAATGTTACTGCGTAGAATCTAGGACATTTGCGCGATGGCTTTGTTTTACTACTACCATTACCAAAATGCTATGCATATTTTCTTTCTTATTCAAATTTGCATTATGTCATGAGAATAGGAAGACCATAGGCTGTGTTCATGAAGGCATCATTTTACTACTGCTACCAAAATGCTTTGCGAATATTCTATATCAAAATTTGTATTCCCTCAAGAGAATAGTAAGACAATTGCTGCTAATTTACTGAACAAAAGAAAGTGTTCAAAGGATTCTGGTAGTAGTAGTAAATGACGCTATGATACAAGCGACCTATTCCAAGGGCGGATCTGGGTGGGGGGGGGGGTGGGTGCAAAGGGGGCTGTAGCCCCCCTTTAGCAGGAAAAAAAACCTGAAGAATTAGATGCTTTTTTTTATTGTTTTCCGTTGTGTTGATGGAAGAAACTCAAAAACCCCTAAAATTTTGGCTGGATCCACCCAGCTAATTTACTGAACAAACTAAAGTGTGAAAGGGTGTCTAGTACTTGTAGTCAATGTTACCATAATGCAAATGTCATACATAGCATTTAACTCACCGTATCATAGTGGATGTCTGACTGGGATGATACAGGGGACCCTGGAGTACGTCTCCCAGTGGTGTTGGTGTATATCGGACCTTGGATATTCTGGGGGTATGCAGGTGGTCCTGTGGTCTGCATAGACATCTCATTAGGATACGACATCGGCTGTGATGTAAAGTTAATGGAAAGATGAATGAAATGAATGGGAAAATGCAAAATGATCTGACAAGAGTTTAATCTCATCATAACTAAGTGTACAAAGTCTTGGAATAATTATTTTGAATTTAATCCAAGACAAAATAATGCTTCAAAATTTAATCAAATAAATAATAATTTCCTAAATTCCACATTTTCAATAGCGTTAAACCCTATATCTCCTTTCAAAGTTTATTGCAAATACATTGCTTATTTTTAACACACTTTTTTAAAATTTGTAATCTAACAATAAAATTCAACAGTTTGCTTAGTCAGCATAAATCACTTTTTTTTAAATAGGAAAACATTCTAAAAATACTATTTATTTAAAAAAATATTTGCATGAAATTTATTCTCAAATCTTGTGATATTTTTGTTTGTTTTGGCAGATTTCAATAACTTTGTTTGTTATTCCTTTCATTTTGTTGCTTGGTTACAACTGTGTTTTGCACTTTTAACTGTTGGTTTTCAAAACTCTAATTTTATGAACTTTGTACTGTACCATATAATCAATATTTACTTTGTTCGTATAATTTCTGTACATTTAGAAAGAAAAATCATAAATTTCCATAGACATCATTCGTTGTGGCATATTGTATTTTCCCATTACAGGCCACATTTCATTCCCTAGAGAATAAGATTCTTTGTTTGAGTCGTATTCATATCATGTGTCTTCTCACGTGAAAATGTGAAACAAAGAAATGATACTCAAGGTAAATAACACCTGGTCTGTAATTCCTTGCATCACCACAAATATTAGGACTATTATTTTGATATGTTATACATTTTTCTGCTCTCAAAAGCTATTCCTTATTTTCACTTCCATATCATATCATTTTCCAAGTTTTAACTACATTTTTTCTTATGTTTATTTTTGATTTTAAAATAAATATCCTTTGGCATCAAGGATCTTTTGGGTGCTCTTTTTGAAGCTCTTCAATTTGCGTCATCATATATGATACAAAATACATACTAGGATGCTCAGTAGGGGGAAATCATTTTGCATGGCTATGATGTCCTAAACACTGCAACAGCAAAACAGCAAACAGCGCATAAAATAGTGTTGATTTTTAGGTATGGACCTCTCAGAACCCAGAGAAAATCAAAAGTGTTAATAAAATTTCTATGAAGGGAGAAGAATAGATCTGAGAACCAAGAGAAAAACTCAAAGCACAAGAGAAGCAAACAAAAATCTATGACATATGATATTCGCAGTGTTTAAATTTCAAACTCAAATACTTCAAACAAAATCCATTCAAAATTACGAAAATAGAATACAGTCATGAGATAAGAAAACAAAAATCTAATTAGATGAGTACTGTAACACCACTAGCTACCATTAACAGGAACCTATTGTTTTCTGGGTAGTGTGAGTGTGACCTGAATACTCAACAGGTATCACCTTACATAAGAAAGGAGAATGTGACATGGAATACACTAGGAAACAAAGGTGGAAGTGCTCCAAAAGACTAGGCGATGTGCTAATTTGTATAACCAAAAATAATGATTTATAGAGATTTAGTTTCACAAAAAAAAAAAAACTACTAGTGCAACTAATACGGCCCATATGAAAATGTTTTGCATTTTCAAACAAATGTTTGTGATTTTTGAGACAAAGTTCACAAGTTTAAAATGTGTAATTTGTAAGATAAGAAAAAAGTAGAAGTTAGGTTATGATTTGCTGAAAAATTTTAGCTTTCTGGTAAGATCAAAAATTGGCAAATCCAAAAATCAACATCGCTGTGGTAATTGCCAAGTACTTTCTCTTGAGAGATTAAACTTAGACCAATTGCAAAACACTTCCCGTGTAGATAAGAAATTTATATAGACACACATTCCTAATTGCCTCAAAAAGATATTGACACTGATTTCACCCAAATAAATAAAAAAACTAAGGTTTTAAAGCTAGAGATAAGCAAGCTACACAGTACATTGAAGGAATCAAGAACATTCTTAAAGCACATTCCTGTACATCCTTTATTGCATGCCGTTGCAATTCATCTATTTATAGACAGTCGCTGCAAAGCTGCTCACCTGGTATGGAGGAAACATGCCCCTCATTTCTGGGTTAAAATCAGGGTCTGCAGAAGAACCAAAGAAAAACATCATTAAATAATCAGTATTACTGTTGACTTGGGAGGAATGAAAACTGTAGACTCAGCAATAGAGGATGTGAAACTTCCTTGGAGTACTAAAATACTTGTGACGGAATAGTATAACCTTGGCTATAACAATTTGATATCAAATTCCAATTTCCTTTAATTGAGGGCATAAAGTAGCAGAAAACGTTAATGAAAAATCCTATAGTTTTATGATAATTTTCACACCTAGGTTATTGAATCCAAATTCACTTTCAAACATCCCTGCTAGCCCCATGTTTTTGTTTCTTCTACATCTGGTTACTGAGATCATTTGAGCACAATTCAGCAATTTAAATCTTGCTGACATTTGACACTGTATTAGAAAATAATCCAAACTGATGGATAATGTTTCAAAGGTTGGACATTTCATCACGTGTCAAAAAACTGCAATGCTAGCCAAATTATGCTCAAAAGTATTGATTGATTTGTAGATAAATTGATTAATACTTAGAAATCAAAACATATGGAAAAATAGGATTTTATCAAGATTCAATAAATTGAATACAACTGTACCTAAAGTACAATTTTTTTTCTTTTTTGAAACTAAACATTAATTTGAAATTAGCATATAAGATTTTGATGACAACCTTCACACATTGGAAGGGTTTTAATGTTCCATGACGCAGGCACACTACCTTTAGTCAAAGGTCTTTCACAGGATTGATTGCCCAATCAGCATATTCAAAAACAAACACATAAACTTATATTTGGAAAAGAGAATCAAGACCATTATGCTGACCATTTAGCACTCTTAATCATGGAATGACATCATAAGTGTATCGGCACCCTTCCCTGCGCCAATCAAAGTGCATTAAGCACGATAAACCAATTTTTATACCTTCATAAAATAATTCCAAAAATCAAGATCTTTGAAACCCTTAAATTAAGAATTCATCATGGCCTGTTGTAGGAAGAGTGGAAAGCACTATGGATAATTCGTTATTTATTGGATAACTTGATGCTGATATCAAATAAATTTATCCACTAGATAAGATTTATCCATCGGATAGCCCTATCCACCCATTGTAAAACTGGGCCCTTTATCCCTTCCCATAAACTCTCATTTTTTTTCATAAGTTCGAATTCTTTGGTCAACATCCTTGACGGCATGAATAAAGACAGATCAGAGAAACAAGGAACACTTTGAAATATAAAAATGTCAATCTTGAAAAGTTAAAAGCAAACCACAAGAACTAAAAATATCTTACCTTCACTTCCAACGTTGAAAAAACTAAGAAAAAAAGAAAAGAAAAGAAAAAATGAAATCTTAATTCAACTGCAAGGAATAACAAGAACTTTAAAGGGGAATAAGCATTATAAAATAAAGAGTCCTTATGGGTTCTCTAAAAGTGCAGTAAGTACAAGTATTTCAGCTGCTCTCTTGTTACATAGAAGTGGGGAATTCCTTTACAGAAATTTAAAACAGTTCTTAAATAGAAGTTTAACCCTTTTGAACATGTACAATATACATCCAAATAACAATTATGTACATGTTGTCAAATTTAAATACTGTCTAATGATTATATCCTAATCTTCAAATGTCTGAGTCAATAAATTACTAAAAATATATGAAGACTTTATCAAGGCACAATTATTTATAAATCCCCAATAAATACACTATGCAAATTATGCAAGATAGTTAAAAGAGAAGACAAATAAACAATACATTGACCTACTAATTTGTCATGGCTTGTTTCTTGTAACGTATGTTGTTGATAAACTTTAAAAAAACCTTCCTGAAGTACTGAAATTCTTTAACACTGGCTTGGCTACTTATATATAGATATAGGATAGGATTATATAAGGAGAATATGAACTAATGGTTGTTTTGGGTTCTATTTCATAACATGTCAATCATGGTCCACATGTTCAACATGCTGATCAAAGTTCAATCAAGAAACCTTGTTAAAGAAGTTTTAGGGGGTTGATCTGATGTACTAGCGCAATCTGTGCCAAGGTTCTTTTAACACCTTCTTGTAGCTGTAAATAAAATCATGCAAACTTTGAACCTCTAAACAAGCTGGTTAATTAAGTGTTGATAATTTTAAGCTTAAGTTTTGGAGTGTACTTCCTTAAACAACCAATTACTGACAGTAACTCAGAAATCTTTCACAGGTTATATTTTTTAATGGCAAATTACTCATTGTTAAAACCATATTGCGTTCTATGCTCCCCTTAACAGATTTAAGAGAGGGTCAATAAGCTATCTTCTCTTTTTAACCCAAGGTTGTTGTGACTGTGTAAAACCATTAAGTCAAAAAGATAAGGAATAGAGAGTTAAGAATTTTTAATCATTTGCAAGAGAAATTTCACTTTCTATTACAACATTAAAGTTTACAAAGAAAACTTCAAGGAAGGGTACAATTCAGAGCAAACAAACCTTTCGACCCCCAAAAACAATCAAAACAAAACCTTGACAATGAGCCTTAGTGATAGCATCACGTCATGCGATACTACCTATGGACTAAAGCACAGTTTAAAGGACAGAACAATAGCTTTTGGATCACAAATCTTGGCATCGTCAGCATTTTTTGTCTAAGCTGTGATATACAGACAATGGGTTAATCAGATACTCTTGAAGTGACAAGTGCTGGAGATATAAACAAAATGTTGCCACAAAGTTGAGATGAAAATTCAAGTTAAGATATGAAGATAATATAATATTTAATGAGAAAAAGACAATAGAGTTAATATAATCAATAGCTCAAAGATCAAGTCAGAAGGTTGTCATCCTTAAGGCTCTTCCAAAACAAAAGCAAAGAGGGCTGAAAGTCAAAAAACATTTTCACCAACAATAACTTAATTATTTGACATTAGCATTACTATATAAGACAGCTCAAGTCTGAAAAAGAAAACCCAAACAAAGACAGGTGTTTTGACTGTTGGCAGATTATTTTGAAACACCTCTCTGATTTATGAATATATTTTGATCAAATTCTACAGATGATTACAAATCTACAATTCTGTAAGATTTTAAGACAATTGTCTAATGTATTGCTCTGCAGCTGTGTGACACTTTAACAATGACAATGGGAATAACTTAATTCTTAGATAACAATGAATTGCATTGTCATACTGTACAATGCCTATTGTAATTCTAGAAATCTATTTTCCTCACAGGTAGAAAACAAAACATGTCTAAAAATAGCAACAACTGGAAACAACAACCTGAAAGAAGCTGAATTCAGCTGAAATATTTAAGACATTTGAGAGAAGTCTAAGAGGATTTAGCAAACAATACTGAGCAACGTTATCCTTGTATTAATCACATTTTTAGCATCTTATATGCAAAAGCATTTTCCGTGGCAGGCAAAATTTAGACTATTTTCATGACAGTACAGGTGTCAAACTAAATAAAAATGCTCTATGCTCCCCTTAAGAGATTAAAGCACTTTACAGAAATTGGCTAGAAATATTAATATTTAGTTTTTAAGAGGTCTTCGGCTAGCTACGACTGTCGACCGTCTACCACGTTTCCAAGGTCATGGAAAGATTTAATCAAGTTCGGTCTCAGACATGTCTCAGCTCTTATTTACTATTACAATTATTTTTCTATTTCTTGCCAGTATTTGTTAATCAATATCATGTTTCAAGAGGTATTTCACGTACATCACAATTCTGCGTCATGGCATTTTATTCTGTATTTTGAGAAATGAGAGACAAGGACATGAATTAAAGGGTTCGTAAATCTAGGAGTCTCATGCATCACTAAAATATTACGTACTACAATTGAAATAATCTTTTCTCAAAAAAAAAATATATATATAATTAAATTTGTTCAATTAGGTTTTAAGGTTTTGTAAACTATATCAATGATCATAAAATTTTGCTGTTGTAAAAATGGCTTTCATATGATTTAAAGGGTTTGTAAGTCTATGAGTCTCATGCATCACTACAATATTACTACAAATTGAAATAATTTATATATATATATATATATGTATAAATATATGAAGAATTAAATTCGTTCTTCAATTAGGTTTTAAGGTTTTGTAAATTTTCTCAATGATCATAAAATTTTGCTGATGTTGCAAAAATGGCTTTCATAACGTAGCTTCACACAAAAGTGACAAAATCCAAGTCTTCTCAAGCTATTGTACATAATGAAATTAAAGTAGATAAGTGAGATAGCTGGCTGCAACTCTTCCTACCCAAAAAAACTTCTGCATTAATTCTGTAAACCCTTCTAATAAATCCAACAATGCTTTAAATTTCCTGCATTTGACATCGAATTTATTCTTTCAAAAATTTGGTTTTTTAATGAAATTCAAAAGAATAAACTTGCCAAATAAAGCCTTTTTAGATTTATTAAGTAATATATAGGCAGCCGTGTTGTATACAATATACAAACATGAGCTGGAGGCAAGTAATATTGCTTATTACTTATCAACTGCCAAGGTTTAGTTTTTTCAAGGCCATGATTTCTATTGTGTTTTCCTTATAAATTATTCATTGGTTCTCTAAGAGGGTTTTAGCTTCCTGACAATAATTTAAGGTTACATCACCAGATCAATCTAAAACAGCAAACCTCAAAATCCATTTTTCTTTTGGATCAAATTAGTTTCCTATACAACACAAACTAGCATATAACTTTTAAGAAACATTACAGTATAGCTGATAACAAATATAATCGAAGGGTTATTATCTATACTAACTAATTATCTATATAATATAAAGAAACCTAACTAGGAATACATGGCAGTCCTCTTAGGTAATATGGATCATAATTAACCACTAGGACAAGTAAATATAAGAAGAGAAGTCTCTGACCAGCATAGTTAGATGTGAATATTGGCCTCATGACAAATAAATAATGATACTTTCAACATGAGTAATTGTTCTGGGATTTTCACCATAAGTTGATATCACCTTATATGATGACAAGGATACATCATGTTAGCGTTACCTTAAATCATCCATCTTTAAAATCTTTTTATACCTTGATGTTCAAACTGGGCTCACTACCAAACCTTTATCTCATAATTGTGGTGAGATTTTCAAACAAGATGGCCATATTTGTGTATTTATGAGCCAAACAGTGGACAAACATGACAGATTGCTTAGCTAAACAACACATTTTGAAGAATTGCCAGTTGAAACTTTATCATCGACACATTTAATTTGTGTTTGTCTAGACCTGTTTCTGAAATCTTAAATTTCAAACAAATCCAAATAGTAGTTTAAAGTCAGTTATAGAAACTTTTTTGACGAGAAATCACTAATGAGCAAAGGAGAATAAAATGAGTCTATAGGCAAACCAAAGAATGATCATTATGCTAGAATTGTTTCATCATTGCTCAATCAACCAGATTATTTTATGTGGACCAATGCACTGGACCCTTAGGGATCCACTGAGGTCTCAAGCAACTTAGGAAGGTCAATATTTTTTTTAAAGGGGGGAGGGGGGGTGAGGGAAGTCAAGCAGTGTAGTCAAGCAAGGAAAGGTTCTGCAACTAGAATTTAGAAAATTAACGCAGACTAAAGCTGGGATATCGTGGAAACGTTTTGGGTTGCAAATATTTTTACTGGGGGGAGGGGGAGGGAGAAGGCATCATCAATCAGTTCAATGGACCAAATAAAGAAAGAGTCTTCATCCACTCAAGGCAATCCAGAATAAACTATGGCAAGTGAATTATCTGCAGAAGTCTATGCAGAAGTCTCAGTGTATAATTTTTAATTTGTTAAAAAATTATTATTTCATTTACGAAGCTTCTTCACCTTAGTGATTTTCAAGTAGGTCCTATGATTACTAAAGTCTTAACTACTGTAAATGTCCCTATTGACTGATGTGGGGGGAAAACCTCTAGGGAAAACTGAGTTCCTTTAATAGTTATTAGCGACACTTGTCTCCAAAATAAAAATAATCAAATTTTATGTGGTAAAGGAGGATTTGCACATACATTCCCTACCACCCCCCCACCCCCCACCCCACCCCCTATCAGTGCAATTACTAGAGAGGGCTTACAAATACCATCCAGGAGCTATATACTGGGACAATCCAAAGAGGAATAGATAGTGGGGTAAACAGAATTAAGTTGCCAAACAAATATTTACTGAATTTGTTTGAATGCATGACCATAGCTAATAGTGGTATGAAGTCGAGGTTGGAGGATGTTGGAATAAGAGAATGCAGTAAATGTATAAGATTATGATTGACAGCAACCTCAATTTGAAATCATGGTCATTATAAGCTATGTCACATCTGGCTGAAAAACAAGTCAAACTTTAATTGGGATACAGTATCCCAATGTTACCCATTTTATGCAATTGCCACTAGCTGCTCGGCAGTCTCCTCTACTGTGCCTTAATATGCAGCCCGTAAAGTCCTCCACTGATCTTGTAAAGCGTCATTGAGCTCCTGGAAATGGCGCTATATATATTCATCCTTTATTATTATTATTTTTGTATAGGCAGGTAAGATTAACTTAATGTCAAAATTACTGGAACAGTTGATGATTTTTTTAATGTAAACCGAAATTGCTGTAATTTAAATTACTAAGTTAACAACAAACTAGAAATAGCTATAGCTAAAGATATGAATTTGAAACTTGTATAAAAACAGCTGGCATGGTAATGGTAAAGAATGCATAAACCAAATAATATACACAAATTGTACAAACTAAGACCATCTGCTGAACTAAGGTTTGCAGGGGCGTAGTCAGGATTTTGTGGGTGGGTGGGGGGAGGAGAGGGAGGGGAAGAGGCCAAAACCTGTTTTCAGGTAATTCGAACTTATCATGTGACTACATAGATGTTTTGGTTTCTAAAGCATAAGGATGGGGGGGCTGGCACCCCTTGGCCTCCCTGGCAGATTCACCTTTTATCTCTGGTTTTGGGTTTAATTCCTGGACTTTTTTTGTGGCTACTGCCTCGTAGAACAGAATACAATGGTGAAAATAAACCAGTGCACATGATCAGAATGTGAAAAACGCTGGTGGCATGATATCTTGCACGAATCACAAACAACATAACTGGAGCAGGTATTTTTGCTGGAATTTTTTAAATACAAATGGAGCTCGAAACAAAAAAAACAGAAATTTTCTAGTGTTCCTACAGAAGAAATAAAGACACATGCGATTGTTGAGCGTCTATTTTTCTATGTATTTTGGTTTTTTTCTCCCTCTACGAAACCTCTGCAAATAAATTGCAATTGCATCTGTGAGATACCTGTTCCCTGACTTAGATCAGTCTAAAGGTTAAGTTGTTAAGATTTGAGAAAAACTTAAGTTTTAAATAGTACAAGGCCCCTACTATAGCATAGCTGCTTGCTAACTAGAAACACTATATATGTCCAAGATTAAGCACAAGAATTGTTTATTTTCATTTGATGCAGTTCAGTTAAATTTAAGAAATAATGAAAAAACTTCAAACAATGAACACGGCACAGTTTATTGTCGTTAAACATATCCATAAAAGTTTTAAAATCTGAATATATTTTAGAGAAATTATAAATCACAATCGCGAACTTTGATCGTTACTGTAATTCAAGCAGCTTGGGCATCTGTGTTACATGTATCATCAAAATCCTGACCCAAAGCACTAAACCTTAACTTAACGGTGTTAAAAATAAAAATAAATGAAAATAAAGCAGCAAGACTCTTCAAAAGTTATAAATTTAAATATAAATTGACCAAGGTTCTAAAATATTATACTAAACATTTAGGTTGAAGTATGATTTTTTTTATTGCAACAAAATGCTATGCATTGAAAGATCTTTGGGAGGAAATGTGATGAAATGATACAGGAAATATCCTAGTAGGACTAAGGCTATTTGACCCTCATTCTCAAATTCAACAGGAAACAGTGCAGTATAAATAAGCAATCACATGCAAAAAATAAAAAGTATACCAATAACTTTTAAATTACACCATGAAATTCTACCTAAAATTATGTGTATAAATTCAAGCATACAGTATGTCTTATAGATTAAGATTTTTTGATTTAGGATTCTTTAAATTATGTTTAGATAATTCTGTGTGTAGTTTGAATAAATTGGTTTCAAAGAACATGAGAATGATAAAAGGATAACCACGATGAATATGCTTTGTTCATATTGAAACAATTTCAAAATCAACATTTTGAACTCCATTCATTTAGAGTTGAATTCCCAAAAAATTAACTTAAAAATCTCAAGGGATTTACTGTTTATAAATCTGAGCAGTAAGGAACTAAGCTTATTCAAATTACATGTAAATCAGGAAATATATATATGGCTTTGTAAAGTTAAATAATTTACATTGGATTGTACTTGGACTTAAAAAAAGGGTTTATAGACTTAATTATTGAAGGAAGATATAAGAAATATTAAGCTTTGATGAGGAAAATAATACATAAATCTGATAAACTTACCTACAACTATGAAACCAAGTTATTTGCTTTGATTTGGTTCAAGTAATTCAATAGGCACTCAAGAAGAACAAGGTTTTTTTCTTCACCATAAGATGTTTGAAGAAGGAAATTCAACATGAAGGTTAGGTGATAATATGATGACATATGTTAATGCACTCTGCGCTGTTAAACACTGCTCTGTAGGACTGTGCGAGGGGAAAGGTCTTAACATTCCTAAGTGCTGATGTCATGGTCATAAATTACTTGATAAGGAAATAATATTCAATCTCAATAAGAAATAATTAATACACATTCTTTGGCTTAACCTCTCTAACTGACCTGCCAGTAGCTATACATATAATATATTGAAATATTATTTCAAAAGTAAAGCTATCTGGGATAATAGAAATTCCCCAAAAATAATTTGAAAAAAACCTTACTCAGCAAATTATATTAATATTATATGAGTTGAAGAGAGAGGGAGAATCAATTTGAAATTATGTTTGACAAGAAAACACTGTTTGTATTTTTTTTTTTTAAATTAGAAAAAATAAAATTATATTTCTAGCACAAACATTAATGGTAACATTAAAAGTAATATCCTATTTTTGATTCAAAAATGAATTTTTTTCATGATTTAGCTTTCACGCATTAATGATGCCCCGTGACAACTGCTGCATAATTAGTTAAAGGGATTATTTGAAATATGAGACAATGAACACTAAATGAATTTATCCTATTTATATCTAGGATTTTAACAGTTCGATTCTTTAAAGAAAATTATTGACAAGATGTGTCAAAATATATTAAACAATAAGGTGTAATGATACAAGAAGGTTTAGATTATATGATGAGAAAAATATGAATCCTTTTAAACTGGTCTCAGATAAAATTTTGAAAATTGAAAATTTTCGTAAAGGAATAGTAATTTTCTATGCAAGAGATATAAGTGCTGCTAGTATTGCACATACGAAGGTGGTGTGTTTTATTTCTCTAGGCAGCAGCTAGCAAGCATTAAACATTTTATATAGAAATGAGATAGATGGCTGTTAAATGAGGATGGGATAAGATAAAAAGAAATTAAACTACATGGCATGAGATATGAACAGAGTAATATAAAATATAATAGGATGAGTTAATATATAATTATGTTTAAGTGAAGTATGTAATGGGAAGGAATGGTTGAAAAAATGACAGCTTAAATGAAAAACAATCGATTTAAAGAGAACTAAAGTGATAAGGGAAAAGGAAAAAAAAGCTCAATTGTGCCTCAAATTTTTTTTGAGAAGTGGAGAAACATTGGGTAGTGTCGAGTAACATCGTTTTTCGTCACTGTTATCAAAGACTGGTTCCAATCAGTGTTCAATTAAAAAATTTTCTCATACTTTACTTAACTTAAATTTCACCTCTATGCTATTGTAGAAATAATACTCGCTCTCTCCTTAACACTAAGTATTAAATTTACTTTCTCAAGAAGGTTTTGAAGGAAATGCATTTAAATCGTAGAAGTGCTAGAAAACATAAATATGAGAAGTATTGTATATGGATTACTAGTAGCATTGAAAAATTATATTTTTTCTAAGGTAATTGAAATAGGCTCACGTAATCTGGAATTGTATGCAATGGAATCATTTATTTATATCTATGATACGTTGTGTAATAACTTTAAATCTACTCATGACAAGCCGCTCCTTTGAAGCACAGATTATCTTAAAACCCAGGTAAAGATTGCATTGGTTGCTGTGTAGAATGCGACTCTAAAGCAGTCAGCAATGTTGATCTTACGAAGCAACACAGAATAAGGAATTCGGATCAACCATCACGAGTTCGGGTGGGCTTTTGTATAACGCCAATGACGGATAAACAAAGATCTGTACAATAACAAACCACCCAGTCATCTAACTCTTTAGTAAACAGCTTACGGTGTGTATTTTGTAAGGAAAATACGACACTGTGGAAAATGAATGAGCTGGGAAAATTCTTTGAACCCCGATCAATGTTCACGATTTTTATTTTTTGTGTAGTAAAAGTAAAGTGACATTTCGTTTCGTCCCTCGTGTTATCACCCAGACGTAAATAATGCATTATTTCATGGAGTAAATTCTTATGACGTTTCAACAAATATGTCTCTAAAAAAATTGACTTGACTTTAACAGGCTTCATTTTGAAGTAAGTATGGAATTCCTTACCATAAAAAGATTGAAAAACTTACCACGAATTCCTGGTCGTTCCTCTAACGTCTTCTAAAATACTTTTGTAGTGTTTGTCGCCAATTCCGATGGTGGGTTCAAGGTTATTCTCATGCTCTTCTGCCATTCTTGTTTCCTGTTTGACTCCTTGAGAATCAGGAGTAAAATACTTCGCCAAGTTTAACGTTTTTGGCTCAAAAAGTCGCAGACCTAAGGGACGATTTAGACTTCTAAACTCTGCCACGCTTCTGGATAAAGACAATAAACCAACTGTGAGATTGCAATAAGCAGAGACACAATATAAAGGATCAAAGTTTGATTTAAAAACAATAATAACCAATGGTCACCAAGGTGCAAAAATAAGAATTACGTTGGGGCTCTTCACCCCCACGGTTCAGGGATCTTTCTATAACTTCAAAATTTTACCATAGGATAATATTTAATTACTTTAAGAGTTTTAACTCGAGATAGAGTTCCGACTACAGGATATCTTATTACTATTCGACGGAAATTCCCTTACAGAGAGAATAATAAAGCTGCCGAATTTGATATTTCAGATGGAAGTATTGACAGTCGCGTGTGGAAATTCATTATCAACAAGTGATAAACAAGGAAGAGGATTTGTACTGTAAAAAACCTCATCCAAAAAATACTATATATGAGATAAAAATCCAGTTTGAGTTGCGTATAATGTCATCAACACTTCATAACGAGGATTTTACTTAATTATAGCTCGCTGAAAGGAGATCAGCTGGGGAATAATAATCAAATGATAGACAAGAATCATAGTCTTTGTGATCATGAACCTTGACAACAATCAAGACATTAGCTTCATATTCCGTCAATTAAATCCAAGCGTTTTTGAATAACACTGAATAACTTCTATTGTGCAGACTTTAAAGTATTCTATAAGAGCCAGTTTAATAGAGAAAGTGGCTTTAAAGATGATAAAGACTTCGTTTAAAGATAAAAGAAGGACTCGTTTAGTGTCGAATCATGCTGCAAATATCAGAGCAGGCCAGACGTTCCCAGTTTGCAAATTTTACCACGAAAATCAAAACTTTCCCGGAAATTTTGAAAGATCAATATCTAAAGAAGGAAGAAGTATTTTTGTGTGTCAATAATAAGGTGTTTAGACTTACCAGAAGCGCTAGAATGTGGTATTTTTAGTTCAAGAAGAGCACGAGACGATGTAGTGTGAGTGATGCAAACAGTCTTCTTATGCTAATCATATACCCTAGACTATTGACCAATCATAATACACCACACAGGTAGCCCGAATACAATTTCAAAGGAACCGTAAGGAAACTCGATGTTTTTGCTTCGTATTTTTGTTGTCAAAAAAGATCGATTTTGAAATATTATCATAAGAGAAATGAATTTTTAATCAAAATGGTGTATGAGAATCAAGTTTGAAGAAAGTTGGAAAAGGTTTCAGAACTGCTTTGTTGGTACTTTTTACTCTTGAGTACTTCTTTGAGAGGTCTATTTTTTTTCCTTCTTTAAACCAATTCAGCCATGCACTCCTTCATTTCTTTCTCTTTCTTTCTCTCTCACTCTCTCGTTCTTTTTCTTTCTTTTGCTTTCTTCCTTTATTTGTCTCTTTCACCGACCGTTCTTTATTTCTGTCATTCTTACTCAATTTTTTTCTGTGTATGGCAATTTTGCTTTTGAAAATAATTCAACGCCCAACATCTGGAACTATTGCAGTGCCTATTCTAGATGGGTGGCCTTTGGATAAACAACGAAAAGAGCAGCTAGCTTTGACTACCGCGTAACTATTTATTTGACCCGACCGGCAAACTCTTTCTGGCATTCAAACCTGGCTGGATGCTATGCAGCAAAAATGCAAAGAGCTAAAGTAAGATGACAGAAAAGTAATCTTTTCGCGTCCGGAAACCACTCGAAGAATTGATATGCAAAGGTCAGATCTATCTGTTTTTGTGCAAGCCAAAGTTGAAATGCTTTCAGTAAAGTATTACCAAATATGGATGACGCTGCATCGGCAATGGCGTCCTTTTTTACTAAGCCGGTGGTGTTGAGTTACTGTCACAGTGAGCTCGTTATTGCTTTTGCTTGCACAGTTGCAGTGCGGTCTTTCCCAGCCATAGCATTGTTACAGAATAAAGCAAATGAGATACAGCGGTTGATATCAATTGATAGAACTTTCAAAAACAGAAATGACTTGTTCTTTGAGAATTAGAGTCAAGATAGCCAAAAAAATAAGAAACAGATCAACAGCTTATGCAACGGCACAGGGTCTTTGGTGTCAAGTTGCAGGAACGCGTACCACCGAAGTTGAGATTGGTCGGGAATGTTCTCACGAAGACGTAGATCAAGTGTTATTTCACGCTAAAAAAAATACAAATCTTCTTTAATTCCATTTTGTTAACAAAAACAAAGTTTTTTTTTGGCGGCTATGCACATGCAATGTTGCGCTTGGGTGTATCGAATAACTGTTTACACAGCAATGAAGGCACTTGAAATGCCGGTGTCTGGTTGCAGTTTGCAGGCATAGTGTTCCTAATCCGTTGGCATCAGGTCATTGTCTATTGAACATTTCTAATTGAAGAACTGTGAAGTGCCTGAAGCAATATTTTGAGTAAATCTGGTATAATCCTTAATAAAACAAGCATTCGGGCACAAAGAAAACGAGCCGGATAAGCGTATTTGGAATTGCTAACACTTAGACTAAGACCCTTTGCTGTTAGTCAACAGACTGAAAGTAAGATTTGCATGCAATAAAGGTTTCATGTTGATCTGGAGTTATTTGCAGTATTAGGAAAAGCATTATTCCCTAATCCATCAAGAATTTTTAGATTGCATTAGCAAGAATTGGGATTTCGTATTACTTTTCTAAAAACATGCCTCTTGAGAATCACTCAACAAGGTGACAGCCGAACTAAGACAAAAGCATGCAATGGATGAATGAAAATCTTTACGTACGTCATCCACCTTGAACGTCCTGACACGCGTGCAAACGGATCTGTAACGACGCGCGTGCCAATATGATGCGGAATATCTTGACCGGATATTGGACTGGACTTTGGTCTGCTTGTATTTAACCACTTGAAACACTTTATTTTATAGAAACATGGGTTTGCGGAGAATTATATTCCAAATTCAGGGGCTCTTCACCCAGTTTCTGGTTTTTGCCGTAAAAATCGGTAACATATGACGCATATGCATAGATGTGTGCGTGAAAGTGAGCCAGTGAGCCAATTTGGAATCAGTACATTTAGATACTAAATTTGTTCATTCATTATAATAAAACAGACTTTTTTATTCAAGGGATGGCTTCGGAAAGGGGTTTCCAATGGGCCAGCTGTGATTTTTACCTACTAATTTAGAAGGGATTTTCCATTCATTCAGTCATGGGATTAATACATTCCTTAATTCAGTCGTTACCTCAGTTAGTAAACCTTAGAAATATCGAATAACAAAAATATTATTAAAAGGTATTGAAGACAAACCCCACCCTAAAAAGATTAGCTTGCAAGAAAGGACTTTCAAATCCAAATTCCAATTCCCCAATGCATTCTAATAGGTTTTTTTTTTTCATTCCATAATAATTTGTTTGTTGGTTCATCTTCCTCGACTAAACTTTCGATACTTCTAATATCGAGCAAGACCGCCTTAACTTTGGATTTTGCTGCAATCATAACTAACCGCATGCAATCCAGGTCAACAGCCATTCCGGAAGTCTTGGCGTACACTGTTGTTCAGATGTCTCTGTTTTCAAAACTCTCTCGTCACGAATTCTTTTACAGCTCACTCAAAAGAGTGACCAACAATACACAGATCTCAGTAAAGACTAAAGGTACGGAAAATCGAAGTCAAGCTATATGGACTTAGTATTAAATTTGCACCACATGGGCGTATTACACGAAACCCTCATTATCATATTATCATAAGGCCTGCATACCACGATCGACCTTATTGCGTCTAAATACTTTTATTTGTGGGCTAATTGAAGTAGCGACCTCACTTCCTCTTTCATGAGATTTTGATGTGTGTGCTTAGCACGTGACAGGCTAGAGTAAGCGCTACATATACACCCATATAATCACAGGAAAAAATTGCTTAGCATATTCCAAACATATAACAGGGATTTTAAACTCTTTCATACCATAAGACATGGGCTCCTCATTTGTTGCATTTTTAGCTTTTCAGAGGATAAGATTTCGGGGTAATTGAAAGATGCTAGATATCATAGTAGATTGAACGAGCCGAGAGTGAACAAGAGAGACACTGTAAAAAAAAAAAAAAACCGGTTGCATTGCAACTTGCGCAAAGTACAGCTCTTTCGACGGTGAGTTCTCTTTGCTCACCCCTTCGTCTCGGTTGTGTGTTATAAATATTCAGCTATTCAACCTAAACCCGTGACATTTTCATCAAATCGTATTGTTCCGTAGTACGTACACTCCTTACTATACAATAAACCTTAATAAAAGAAAATAGTACATTTGTACAAAATCGAGGCGAGCAAAGACTGAGCAAAGGCGAACTTGAAATGATCGGCCACAAGATATATAAAGAGTTAATGCAATGTGAGCAAACCAGAGAGCAAACTCCCTCTATTAGATTGCCATATATAATGAATACTACACACCGACACACACAGATCAGCAGTCAGGGCTAGGCTGAGTGAAGGGCGCGGCGCTTTCAACCGAGGAACGTGACAGGCGATACTCCAGTTAACCTTGGCTTCTTTGTTGGATTCATAATCATTTTATAAGAACCGAAACGAAATACTTTTGCCTCTGGCGCTTAGATTTGTGACCGAAAACAAGACTCGTAGCTAACACTCAGATAAACACTCGACGAAATAATGGATTTGGTCATCATATGTCCACTTGGCAAATGTTG